AAACTGGTCCGTGCAAACAAAACCAGGCACTCTCCAGACCTCAAAAAAATCCTCTCTCCATGGAACCGGTCTCTGGTGCCCAGAAGGTTGGGGACCTCTGGGTTAGAGTGGTTAGAATCCAAGCCAGCCTCTCTTGTCCCCATAACCAAACCGTATTCCTTGCAACCAGATTAGAAGCCAGGAACTGGATTTGGTAGACTGTTTTCTTAGATTCTCTGCAGCTTGTATGTGGCGGCCTGGTGTGACCCTTCAGAGATCCAGAAGCAGGAAATGCTTTTGACTAAGTTGCCTCCTTGTGCCAAAACCCCTGTGGGTGACCGGCTATTAGTCTGAATGGACGACATCCTCTTAAATTCCTTCAATGGTGCATGGCTCTCTTGGGTTTCATTCTGTTTTGCCAAGAAAATGCTGGTCTCGCCCCTTCCTTCTTCCCTGGCTCTGTAGCTTCTGGTGGCTTATAGGGAGACTAATTTGTTAATCAGTGAGCTGTGAACATGAAGTAGGTTGGAGATTAACCTTCCCCAGGCTTGATGAGCCTTCCCTGGGAGACAGGGGAATAGAGTAGAGTAGAGTAGAGTAGAGTAGAGTAGAGTAGAGTAGAGTAGAGTAGAGTAGAGTAGAGTAGAGTAGAGCTGGAAGGGATCTTGGACATCTTCCAGTCCAACCCCCTGCTCAGGCAGGAAACCCTATACCATTTCAGACAAATGGCTGTCCAGTTTCTTCTCAAAAACTTCCAGTGTTGGAGCACTCACTGTTTCTGGAGGCAGGTTGTTCCACTGGTTAATTGTTCTCACTAATTCCTCCTTAGTTCTAGGTTGCTTCTCTCCTTTGATTAGTTTCCATCCGTTGCTTCCAGCTACACCCACATCCTCCACCATCTCCCTGAATCTGCCCAAACTCATATTCATTGCATCAATGACACTATCTAACCATGTCATCCTCTGCCGTCCCCTTCTCCTTTTGTCTTCAATCTGCCCCAATGTCCAGGTCTTTTCAAAGGAGTCCTGTCTTCTCATTTGCTGGCCAAAGTATTTGAACTACAGCTTTAGCACCTGTCCTTCCAAAGGACAGTTTGGGTTGATTTCTGTGTCCAGGCTAACATCACAGCTTTGCAAAAGTGTGCTTGCAGAGAGTTGTGGTTTAAGAACTTGAAGGGACAAGGAAAAGAGCAGATATTTTTTTTCCTAAGATTGGCTTCCCTCCCTCAGAGCTGGCTTGGCAGCCCCGTCTTTAGCCTGGGCCTCTGTTGCGTAAACAGCCTTTGTTTCCCTTTTTCTTTTTATTCAATAAGTGGAATGTTCCAAATCCTTATCTGAAGAGGTCACGGGGACTTGCACAAGGCAAAGCAAACCCCTTGGAACTGAAATGAGATCCATGGCTGGTGCAGGAGAAGTTGGACATTCTTTCTGAAGAACAGTTTGTGAGAAAGAAGAACTCAAGAGGACACATTGTGTGGGAAACATCCATCATGGGGTCGTGGGTACATTTGGGTTTGGGAGAGAGGGTGGTGGGCATTCTCACAAAATGTCCCACCACCAGCGGGTTGACAATTCATAGAATGGATACCACGATGGACACAACTAATCACTCCCTACTCACTTACCCCAAGGAAAACTAGAATGGCTGTCCCTTGCCATTTTTTCATAACTTGATGATCCTCTGAACCGCCCCGTGTAATCTTTGGCCTTTGTTTTACGGAGGATGAGCCTAACTTGACATGTAAGTAAGGTAAAGGTAAAGGAGTCCATGTGGATTTTACTCTGCTAATCATTGCCAATTGCCAACAATAGGAGACGGTGCTCATCTCTGTTTCAAGAGCCCTTGAGCCAGCACTGCCCAAAGACATTTCCATGATCAAGTGACCAGCATGACATGACTTGGAGCGCTGTTATCTTCCCACCGAAGTGGTGCCTATTTATCTACTTGAATTTGCATGTTTTCAAACTGCTAGGCTGGCGGGCTGGGGTGAGGACAGGAGCTCACCCTGTCACATGGTGCTCGGGTCTTGAACAGCTAAAAAGACCATCATCTTAACCTCTGAGCCATGTAACTTCCCACAGTCACCCCAGCTGCTGCCTCTCAGGCTTCACCACAGCCCCAGCCGTAAATCTTAGCTCTCCAGACACTAATAAGCCCATATCCGTTCCAGGATCTCCCTTTCCGTTAGGAGGGTCACAGCCCCACTGCCCCAGCGCAGTTAGATGAATCTCTTCTTCCTTGCAAGCTAGACAAAGCCAGAGCACCAGAGATCAACCCGCCTGCTGCAGTGCCCAGGGATCAGAGCCTAGACAGGGAGATCCCAAATTCTGGTTTTGGTGGCATCCTTAAACCCTGATTTGAAGGATGGAACAGGTGCAAAGAGGCTGCACGATCTGAATATTTAAAATGGTTTAGTCACAATTCAGCAAGGGCTTTGCTGAAATCTGTATTCTTTGCACTTCACTTTTTCCCATTTTCAATTCGGTGGACGTTTGGCGCTACTTTTGTTGGCCCTGACAAGCACTGATCCGTGTTGACAACGGGGTCCTCCTAACTTGAGAGCCACCAGTTTCTCCTTGGTGGCGCTTCAAGTAGTCCTCGACTTAACGGCCACAGCTGAGTCCAAACGTTCTGTTGCTAAGTGAGACAGTTATTGAGTGAGTTTTGCCCCATTTTACAACCTTTTTTTGCCACAGTTTTTAAGCAAATCATTGCAGCTGTCAAATTAGTAACATGGGTTGTTAGGTGAATCTAGCTTCCCCCATTGACTTTGCTTGTCAAAAGGTTGCAAAAGGGAATCACGTGACCCCGGGACACTGCGACTGTCATAAGTATGAACCAGTTGCCAAGCATCTGAATTATGCCTATGGGGATGTTGCAACTGTCATAAGTGTGAAAAAATGGCTGTAAGTCCCTTTTTTGAGTGCTGTTGTAATTTTGAACAGTTGCTAAACAAACTGTTGTAAGTCCGGCACTAACCCAGGGGTAGGCAATCTTGGCTCTTTCATGCCTCGTGGACTTCAACTCCCAGAATTCCTGAGCCAGCATGAGGGAAACTTTGGCCCCTCCATGACTCGTGGACTTCAACTCCCAGAATTCCTGAGCCAGCATGGCTCAGCTTGGAAACCTCTCCCTTTCCCCTCAGCATGGCTGGCTCAGGAATTCTGGGAGTTGAAGTCCATAAGTCATAAAAGAACCAAGATTGCCTACCCCTGCACTAACCTATATTATCCCATCTCAGCCTCTCCTTCTTTTCTTCCACCATTTTTGCCTTAGTTATAACCATTTCATTTCCATGGTTAAACTTTGGAAGCTGGGGGATGCATTTCCTTTAAAAAGAATTGAATTTGCAGCAGTGTGTCCAAACATCGGCTGATCTCTGTCCAATTTAAGTCCCTGCTGACATTTAAAAGAATGGAGAGACTGTTCCTACAGCCTTGCCCCCTGCCCCCATTTTATATTCCTCAGCGCAAGTATAGTTGTTTATATTGCAAAGCTGGCAAAGTTATCATTTTAAAGTTTCTGATTTCAAGCATGTCGTTTCATTAAAGGTTGCCAAGCCTTGAATTAAACGCTCTAGACTTTAGGGGGGGGGGAAAGCAATTCACTCCCACTGAAATTGGAGACATTTAAGGAGATTTTGTAAGCCAGTTGTGTTTTTTTATTTATTTTAAAGTATTGTATTCTTTTTCAAGAAGCAAATAGGAGGCCTCTTGAGAAGGGGAATAAAATGCTAAGCCTGGACCTCCCTCCAGATGAAAAATAAATTCACAGCAGCATAGCTGCAGAAATTATTGTGTTGTTTTTCTGCAGGAATATCTAGAAACCAGCACGGTGGTTTCTAGAGCATAATTACCTTTGCTGCTGCAAAATAAGACCATTTGAAGACAGCCTTATCTATTATATTAATTTGGTTTCTCCTGCTGAAGAAGCATGCTAGGGTGCTGGAATACGGAGCCAAGAATCTTTGGCAGGGTGAATTAAAAAACAAACAAACAATATTCATGTAGAAGCCTGTCTTGTTTAGCAAGGCCACAAAAGAGGGTGTGGAAAGGATTGTCCTGGAAAATGTGTCCTTCATCTTCCATGTCCTCTAGAAAGGTCCCATGAAAACTAGGAAAGAATAGTTTGCATGTGCTTCAATATCCAAAGCAGAATTGCTATTTAAAATGTGAATCTCCAGGAAAGATATTCGTGCAGATGGTGCTGACCAACACGGAAAACCAAGTAAGGCTTAGCTGATTGGCTATGGTGGACATCCGATCCCAGGATTCATCAATGGCCGGGCTAGCTAGAACTACTGGGAACTGTGCCCCAATGGGTTTTTTTCAAAAGGCAATTGGACTTTATTGCTTTTTTGTTTTCCTTTGAAAACACTTCACTTCTCATCCAAGAAGCTTCTCCCATTCTAAGTTAGTTAACTCAGTTAACTCAGAACTGAAGAAGCTTCTTGGGTGAGAAGTGGAACGTTTTCAAAGGGAGGAGGGAAACCCCAAGGAAGTCGAGTGACCTTTTGGAAAAAGCATCTGTGAGACAACCATGACCTGGATAATTGAGAATCTCCATAATCATACTGAGCACTATAATGAAGGGAGTCAAGGAAACTCAGTCAGATAGTGCAGGGGTTCTCAACCTTGGCAACTTTAAGACTTGTGGACTTCAACTTTGCTGGCTGAGGAATTCTGGGAGTTGAAGTCCACAAGTCTTAAAGTTGCCAAGGTTGAGAACCCCTGAGATAGTGGCTAACCACCTAAGTAATGAAGACAGCTGGCCCATTTCCCAGTAGATTTCTCTAAAGCAGATAATGCCATCACTGACAATGACCTTGTCTTGCTGGACATTGTTGGCTAGTTGGGACAGCAAGACGGTGATGAACATGTGCATTTGAGGATTCCCTACAGGTCCTGCTCACGCAGAAGGAGTTTTGCAGACGATGAGACCCTCTTGCAAGTCTTCTGTCTATGGAATTGGGGCTGGAAGGGAAGACCACCTTCTCAAGATTGTCCAACTTTCCCTTGCAGAACTGAAAGAAGGGACCAAACACTTCTCCATGGCAGGAGTGTCCAACTATACCACGCTGACCTTGGTGGACCCCAAAGGATTGCTCTACGTTGGGGCTCGTGAAGCCATCTTTGCCCTAAGCATCAGCACCATGGAGATGGAGGAAGCAGTAAGTAGAAGAAGGGTTTGGGACTGGATCTCCTGCTTTCCAAGCTGGTGCTTCTGTTTCCAGTAGTGGATCACCTAAGGAGGCCCTACGCCAGACATGAAGCAAGGACTTCTTTCTTGCCGCCGGTTCCACAAAGCCGTGCAAATGAAATTCTGTTTAATTCTGACCGTTGTAGCATTTGCAACATGGAACCGGGTCCCTTAAAGTTGAAGCACCAGCATTTAATCCCATGTGCTGAGTTTCATCACCTTTAATCTTGTTTTGGGACGGCCTTGTGTGTTTCAAGCCAACCCATTTCCTTGGTTTATGGTTCAGCATGCCTACAAAACGCTCCAATCTATAAGTAAGGTAAAGATGTATGAGAGACAGGTGGATTTAAGACTTGTGAGGGACGATCCTGCTTGCTATTTAATTCCTGGTTAAATAAATAGGATCTGCCTGTCCCCCGGTCGCTAATGGAAGGGCAGGTCCCTGTGGGGTTTATGGGCACTAAATCAGCCTTCCTTCCCATCATCACTGGCAGCACAACCCAAACTTGGTGAGATAGGGTGGGGTCAGCCTTCAAATGCTGTTGCTCAGAGGGCAATTAAGAGGAATAATTGTTCTTTGCAGATACTTTGGGAGGCTCCAGCAGAGAGAAAAGCAGAATGTATCCAAAAAGGCAGAAGTAATCAGGTAAGCACTTTCTGAAAGGTCCACATTTGGTCCCTTCCTTCTGTAAAATCCTTTAACGTAGAAAAACAGAGTTGGAAGGGACCTTGGAGGTCTTCTAGTCCAACCCTCAGACCTTATGCGGTATGATACTGGGGGAGAAGTAAGTTTGATTGCCTTGAAGTTTTTTCTTCCTGCACTTGCTAAGGCTGCTCTAATCCATTCAGTTAATGAGTTAATTGACCCAGTTTCTCTGGGTACCACTCCTGGCCTTGCCAACTGAATCCTTTTGCCCCTCTTGGGGGGAATTAAGTGGCTGATGAAGGAGGAAGGGTTCTTCTGCCAGTGTAACTGTGGTGGCCTTGGCCATATCCTCCACGACCACTTTCACGTGGGTGCTTGGTACCTATTTACAGTAGTGGCCAAAATTGTGGAAAAGTGGGAAAAGTGTATTTTTTGAGAGTTGATGGCTAATAACACCACTTTTTTGGGGGGAGTACTACCATAAAATTAATAATAATAATAATAGTAGTAGTAAAGTTGGAAGGGACCTTGGTGGCCATCTAGTCCAACCCCCTGCTCAGGCAGGAAACCCTATACCATTTCGGACAAATGGCTGTCCAGTCTCTTCTTAAAAACTTCCAGTGTTGGAGCATTCACCGTTTCTGGAGGCAGGTTGTTCCACTGGTTAATTGTTCTAACTGTCAGGATGTTTCTCCTTAGTTCTAGGTTGCTTCTCTCCTTGATTAGTTTCCATCCGTTGCTTCTTGTCCTGCCTTCAGGCGCCTTGGAAAATAGCTTGACTCCCTCTTCTTTGGGGCAGCCCTTGAGATATTGGAACACTGCTATCGTGTCCCCCCTCGTCCTTCTCTTCATTATATATCAATGGAAAGATAATTTAATCAAGAATGTAATGCAACATAGTTTGTTCAATTATCTGTGCCATATTCTATGAAACATTATAGCCAAATAACCAGAAAAAGGCAGCACAACTTGCTTAGGTTGAGATCAGGTAGCTTTCCTTCATCCGATTGTAGCCAATGAGCACGAGTGTTTAGAGAGCCAATCGGGTGTCATCTTGTTTTGGCAAGGAGCCAATCAGATCACAGTAGGATTCAGTGATTGATGTCATGTATTGAAGCCGAGAGGAGATTTGTCAAGTGTGTTACGTGATTGCTATCAAGTTGACTGGGTTTTTTTGTGTTCTTTCATTGAGTGAGCTTGCAAAACGTCATAAAATTAAAGGAATGGTGCAAAGAGTTGACTTGTCGCCCAGAAAGCGATGTAAAACAGTATTATCAAGTGATCAAGGCTACCGTTTTAAAGAAATTAGAAGAAAAATGGGTGGAAACTTAACCAAAAGTGGCATTTACTGTACACTTTTCCCCAAAGGCTTCCACAATTCTGGCCACTACTGTAGCTGATTTGTTCTCCCCCGTGTGTGCAGTTAGTAAAGATATTTAAGTGGGGCCCTGTGATTGGAAGAGCTGCAAAGAGTAACACGCAAGTGCTAGAAAACATCTTGGATGGTGGTCAGTGAGATAGCAGTAGCACTTAGACTTATATACCGCTTCATACTGCTTTATAGCCCTCTCTAAGTCCTCGACTTACAACAGTTCATTTAGTAACTGTTCGCAGTTACAACATCGCTGAAAAAAAGTGACTTATGACCATTTTTCATGCTGAACGTCCATGGCATCATTCCTTGTGGACATGTGATCAAAATTCAGACACTTGGCAATTGACTCATATTTATGACGGTTGCCATGTCCTGGGGGTCACGTGATCTCCTTTTGCGACCTTCTGACAAGCAAAGTCAATGGGGGAAGCCAGATTCACTTAACAATCGTGTTACTAACTTAACTGCAGTGACTCACTTAGCCACTGTGGCAGGAAAGGTCATAAAATGGAGCCAAATTCAGAACAATTGTCTTGCTTAGCAACGAAAAAAATGTGGGCTCCATCGTGGTCATAAATGGAGGACTATCTGTATTCTGTCTTTGCTGACCTAAGGGCTGCGGAGAGGACCAAAGACAGCCCCAGATTACACTGGTGGACACAAGTCAGTGTCACGCTCTTTAGTTTTTTCATCCTTTCGGCTTATCATTTTAATATTCTGGAAGGTCTCGTTGTTGGAAATACTTACTTTCATCAAATCATGCATATTTAATATCAGTTTAAACAGCCCAGGGTATTTTTCATTAATCAGAAGTTACTTTCATTAAAAAAAAAGATGGGAGATCAGCCGTTGATTCATCCCTACCCATTAGACAAAGTGAATTAGGCCATGTAGGCTGTAGGGTGCCAGATGGAGAATCCTGGTTACAGGTGGTCCTTGGCTCATGGCCACAATTGGAATCAGAATTTCTGTTGCTAACCAGGGCAGTTGTTAGTGAATTGTGACAATTTTATCATCTTTTTAGCCACAGTTACTAAGCAAATCACTGCTGTGGTTAAGTAAATCATGCAGTCATTAAGCAAATACGGCTCCCTCCCCCCCCCCCCGGTTGACTTTGCTTATCGGAAGCCAGTTAGAAGCTCTCAGACAGCATTCACGTGACCCTGGGATACTGCAAGCCTTGTAAATGCATGTCGGTTGCCAAGGACCCAAGTTTTGATCACATGATCAGAGGATGCCCTGATGGTTATAAGTGCCAGGATCAGTTGTAAGCCAGCATTTTCAGTGCTGTTGTAATTCGGAACGGTCACTAAACAAATTGTTGTTAAGTCAAGGTTACTTGTATATGTCACTCAAATGGGAATTCAGAATTCAAATTTAGATTTGTTAGCCCAAACAAGGCAGGGTTATGAGCCAAGGAATTCCAGCATTTGAGGGGCTCCTACAAAGATGAGGGGGTCAGATTGTTTTCCAAAGCACCAGAAGGGAAGATGAGAAGTAATAGATGGAAAATAATCAAGGAGTCAAATGGGAATTCAGAATTCAAATTTAGATTTGTTAGCCCAAACAAGGCAGGGTTATGAGCCAAGGAATTCCAGCATTTGAGGGGCTCCTACAAAGATGAGGGGGTCAGATTGTTTTCCAAAGCACCAGAAGGGAAGATGAGAAGTAATAGATGGAAAATAATCAAGGAGAGAAGCAATCTAGAACTAAGGAGTAATTTCCTAACAGTGAGAGGAATCAGCCAGTGGAACTGCTTGCCTACGGAAGTTGTGGGTGCTCCATCCCTGCAGGCTTTTAAGAAGAGACTGGATAGCCATTTGTCTGAAATGGTATGTGGTCTCCTGGTCAAGCAGGGTTGGACTCCCAACTCTTATTATTCTATGTTCTGCCTTGTGAAAAAAAGCAACAAGGCAAAATCCTTCTTTTGGGTGGCATTCCTGCTTTGCTTAACAATTGCAGTGGAGACTTGGGAGGGAAGCGGGGAAGAAAAATCTGTTCTGTAGGCGCCCCATGGTTCAGATACAATAAGCCAGGGTTGACTTGAATCCTGGCTTCTTCTCCCCCACTAACGCAGCCGCCGTGCGTGCACATTTTGCCCTGGAAAGGATGCCTTCTGCAGTTTCCATTAAATATGCTTTTTAAAATTAAGAATTAGGGGACGTTCTACAGGTTGCTGAAGCTTTCTGTCTAAATTCTTTTCTCCATTCTCGGCTTTCTTAGATCTTTTTTTTTTTTTTTTTTTTACTTCAAGCCAATCTCGGCTGCCTTGAGAATTAGCTACCTGCTGTTAAAGACGGCTCCATTTTCAGGATGTTGAATCTCTGCGCAGCAGCAGAGCAGATGCTCAATGCAGACCCCCCTTGTGCCTAGGTGGGTTGGGGAAGTTTGTTAACAAACCTCTTCTTTCTCTTCCAGACCGAATGCTTCAACTACATCCGCTTCCTCCAGACCTACAACAGCTCTCACATGTACACTTGTGGCACCTACGCCTTCCAGCCCAAATGTGGCTACATTGTGAGTACAGCAGAAACACGGTTCTTGTGCGATACGGTTTGAGCAGCCCAGCTTGTTATTAGGGTTTATTAACAGTCTTTGGGTTTTTTTGGGGGGTGCCTTTTTTAGGATCTGGCCACCTTCTCCTTGGACAGGTTCTCCTTCGAGGAAGGCAAGGGCAAGTGTCCGTATGATCCTGCCAAGGGATACACAAGCCTCATTGTGGGTAAGTGATCATCGGAGCATCTGTGTTTGGAGCTAAAGGGGACGATGGCAGGGTATCACACCAAGGGGGACTCCTTGGACCAGAGGGAAGATCCAACTTCTACGGAGGTTCTTCTGCCTTGGCTGCCTCTTGGCTTTACGCACGATAAACCAGTGTTTCTGAACCTTGATCATTTCAAGAGGCCTGGACTTCAGCTTCCAGAATTCCCCAGCTGGCTTTCCAGAAGTGAATAAGCTAAGATAAGATCACAACCTTAATGTCACTTTTTTTTTTCTGTGACCACACTGGCACAAATTTAAAATGCTTGCTCTCAAGAGAAAGTATATACCCCCATCCATACATATACGTATATGTGTATATATATATATATATGTATTGTTGTTGTTGCTGTTACGAAGTCGTGTCTGACCCCATGGACAATGTTCCTCCAGGCCTGCCTGTCCTCTACCATCTTCTGGAGTCTGTTTAAGCTCACGCCTACTGCTTCAGTGACTCACATATACGTATACATATACATATACAGAAAGTTTTTCAGACAAACCGGTCTGATTGATTGCACCTTGGCATTTTCACTGCTATACTGCAGTTCTACTTTTTTATAATCTCTTTTGCCTTGCAAGCCCCCCAACTAGGGGCATTAAGCAGGCTCAAGTCACAACTGCGATACATTACAAATTCAGATTTCTTTTTGCTGACAAGAGTTAAAGATTTAAGTGGGAGACTAGTATAGCTATTTCGGACTCATTTGTCATCAGCTAGCCACATACTGTATATATAGATATACATATACATACATACATACATACATACATACATACATACATACATACATGCTTCTCTGTATATAGCAATTTACACACACACACATATATATATATATAGAGAGAAATGCTATACACATACACACACTTACATAAACACACACACCCATATACACATGCATATTAATCACAATCCATTTTGCATACATAGCTGAAAAAAGAGTCTTGAGAGTTAACAAGGTTGATACTATATGGTCTCCTCCCAGAAGATAACAACAACAAAAAAAACTGGTCATGGAGAGGACATATAGTATCCTAGACAATACAGCAGACCCTGGTCGAGCATCGCTGATAATGCCATGTCCTGGATTGTGGGAATTGAAGTCCATAGCTCTTAAAAGTTGCCAAGGTTGAGAAACATAGCCATTGACAATCAAACATATCTATTCTTCAAAATCTTGATAGGAGCTCCACGCTTCCCCGTGAGCTGGGCTAATGCCTTTTCCTTGCCTGTTTCAGAGGAAGAGTTGTATTCCGCAACACATAACAACTTCCTGGGTACTGATCCTGTGATCCTGCGCAATCTGGGACCCCAGTATCCCGTTAAGACTGAGCACCTGCCTACGTGGCTGAATGGTGAGATGTTACAGGGGGATGGGGGGATGTATGTTTCTTCCTTGGAACTTGTCAACATAGTTATACAACGTTTTCTGTACTGGGCAGAGGGAGGATCAGAGTGCCACACATGCTGCATATTGGACGTATATGCTATTTATATTGTTTGCATTGTTCTAATTGGCTTGGAGTAACTTATATTCGTTGTTGTGTTTTCTGAACTGGCTAGGTTTGCACAGCGTGCTAGACTGCGCTTAGGTGAGTGTGGTCACTGTCTGGTCAGCACTATGGTGAGAACCCCGCCACTGTCATAACACATTGTTGAAGCTAGGCTGTTATGTTCATTCAGAATGTGGTGGATTTCTTTGGACAACGTCACATATTATATGAATGTGGAATTTTGCTGGGCTTCTAGATCTGGATGTGGCAGAAAACTCAAAAGCCACTAGATGGCAACAAAAAGTTTGGGCTTTCTGTATCTCCTGGCAGCCATTTCTTTGCTGCCATCTGTTGGTAGCTGCAGAGTAGTACATTGTGGAACTGTTGCCAATTTGCCCTCTGGATTAGAAAGGTCTGAACAGGAAGTTGTTTTACATCATCGGAGAGATCTAGAGAGCCAAGATATCGGGCAGAGGGTCTTGCAAGATTCTACTATGTCATCTCTTTAATCTGGACAGGGGCATAGCCTCTCTTTTCTCCAAATTACTCTAATTTGGTTTTAATTAATCAAAAATAAATCGGTGGGAAGCTGACATTTTTAGTATTTAATTTTTGATGCCGCCCAGTTCTGACATTTTGTAAAGCAATGCGCCAGTCTCTGGCACTGTCTAATTCCTGCCTCTTGTTCCGTGCAAACCTCGCTGGCATTTTTAGAAAATAAAAATATTGGGGTGTGTGTGTGTGTGTGTGTGTGTGTGTGTGTGTGTGTCTTCAATCCAGGGTTTGCTTTGGAAGTGTACCCACTGCAGGGAAAGTGGGCTGGTAGAGAACATTCTGGGGTGTGTATGAACACACTATGTCCTGGCAGATGAGAGTTTTGTAACTGATTGGGCTTACTGGAACAAAATGAGGGTAGACAGCCCTTTCCATGAGTGTTGTGTAAAGTGAGCCCCTGACATGATCTTAAGATGACTTGGGTGCCCCTCGTGACAAGATTTCATACTCTGTTAACTCAGGAAGGCAGAGATCTTCCATAGGTGAGGAAGTTTTTTACACCGGATTATGCCGCAGACACGGATCAGATGATGTTTGATGCTTCTTATGGCGAGGAGATTAGTCTTTCGACATTTGGAAGATAAATTTGTAGTCCCAAATACTCAGGGGATGGAAGACCTGCTGTTACTCACAGCTTAGGAATGAGTGGCTTCTAAATGCTGAATTATCTATCCGTGTTTACAATGAAATATGGCCGTCTTTCACTGAGACAGTTCTGTAAAACGTCACGGACAGGTAGTCCTCGACTTAAATGGTTCATTTAGTGACTGTTCAGAGTTACGAGAGCATTGAAAAAAGACATCTAAGTGGTGGCCAAGAGGCTACGGCTCATAGGTTGGGGACCTCTGCTGTAAAGCCCTACGAAGCAAGTACATATGTCTCAAGTGCTGTTGCTATTGCTATCTTCTGCCTGCAGAACCCCATTTTGTGGGCTCGGCATTTGTCCAGGAGAGCAAAGGCAGCAATATCGGAGATGACGACAAAGTCTACTTCTTCTTCAGCGAGCGGGCGGTGGAGTACGATTGTGACATTGACCAGGTGGTAGCCCGAGTGGCTCGGGTCTGCAAGGTAGGCAGTCTGTTTCTCTTTCTGGGGTGGCATAGGACTGGAAGGGCTTCTCCACAAATCTTGGAGTGAGCTTTTCTAGGACAATCTTAGTGGGGCATGGGAATGGCCCCACACCTGGGCTAGGATCTGAAAGCTGCGTCCAGTCAAAGGTCTATTGTAAGGGGGTCTCCAAACTTAGCTGGCTGGGGAATTCTGGGAGTTGAAGTCCAAAAGTCTTAAAGTGGCCAAGTTTGTAGATGCATGAGAAGCTGCTGGGGAACTCACAAGGATTGGATTATTTTTGCTCCAAATTCCTCACCTTTGGAGCTTCCTGTCTCCAACCCTGGAGCGAAAAGTCTCCAGAAACAGAGGCAGTCCAGCTGGTAGGACAACCAAAGACGAACACTTCAGTTAAGCTCGCCTGGTTGGGAACTCTTAAGGGGTGTGTGTGTGTGTGAGGTAGCATCTCCACACAAATCTGGAACCCAGAATATCAACAGTGGGGAGATTTAAGTGGTTCACGGGCCATTCTTTTTTCGATGCAGGGCGATGTCGGGGGCGCCCGTACTTTGCAGAAGAGGTGGACGACGTTTCTGAAGGCCCGTCTGCTCTGCTCCATTCCAGAGCAGCAGCTGCACTTCAACCGGATCCAGGGGACCTACACGCTGAACGGCGATCACTGGCGCGAGACCAGCTTTTTTGGGGTCTTCCAAGCACGCTGGTAAGGCTTTTCAGGGGGCCCATTGCTCCAATAGTGCTGATAAGACTAAAGGTTGGCTGTAGACTTTTTTTTAAATGGGAGAGACTGGTGGATTCGCGTTCCCTTCTTAAAAAGAAGTGAGCTTGGATTCCATAAGGCTGTGAAGGAATCTTTTATGTGTGTCACGTGTAAAAGCCAGGCAGAGATTGGATCACACTGCTGTGACTTTTTTTACCGTTCTCTGCAGACCTCCCCTGTCTCACTTGCATTGATCTAACACAAGGGTCCCCAACCCACAGCCCATTCCTGGGCATTGAGCCGTTCGGAACTGGGCCACAGAAGTGGTGGGCAAGCACATGTGCACGGCACCCATGCCTGCATGCTTCTTTTGCACAAGCGGCGGGTGCACCTGCCTGCCACTTCTCATCATGTAAAAGCCAGGCAGAGATTGGATCACACTGTTGTGACTTTTGTTCTGACTTTTTTTACCGTTCTCTGCAGACTCCCCACGTCTCACTTGCATTGATCTAACACGGGTCCCCAACCCACGACCCACTCCTGAGCATTGAGCCGTTCGGAACTGTGCCACAGAAGTGGTGGGCAAGCACATGTGCATGGCACAAGTGCCCGCGTGCTCCTTTTGCACAAGCGGTGGATGCGCCGGCCTGCCACTTGCGCAAAGCTGCGTTTGTGCGTTTCCTCACCGCTTGTGTGGCATCATCCCCTTCCCCCTGGAACTTGAACCCTCAACCCCCTGTTTTCCTTTACTTCCTGCAGGGGAGACGTAGATGTCTCTGCCGTTTGCCAGTACCAGATCCTGGATGTGCAAAAGGTGTTTGAAGGCCCTTACAAGGAATACAGTGAAATCGCTCAGAAGTGGATCCGTTACTCCGATCAGGAACCCATTCCCCGTCCTGGAGCTGTAAGTCCATGTCCCCACTGAGGCAGAACCCCTCACTTTCACCCCTTCCATCCTGCTTGGGTGACATAATCCTTTGTATCTCCCATTGCTGCCAAGCAGCTGATACAGACAGTCCTCATTTAACAGTTGCCCTGTTTCGTGACCACCGAAAGCTATGACACCTCTTTAAAAAAGTAATTTTACGAGCTGTTGTCGCATTTGCATAGTCAACGGAGAAATCAGCAGTAAAATTGCAAGTCATGGTCACTTGTCTATGAAGATTCTCAGTCATCCTGGTCTGGGAATTCTGGGAATTAAAGCCCATACATCTTTGAGTGGCCAAGATTGAAAAACATGGCCCTAGATCAGGGGTCTTCAAACTTGGCCCTTTGATGACTGCCTGGCTGAGGAATTCTGGGAGTTGAAATCCACAAGTCATCAAAGGGCCAAGTTTGAAGACCCTTGCCCTAGATAATCACACTTCTTCTGGCCCGTCCCTCCTGAAGGAGGCTGCTCCTCTTGGTGAGGAATTGACAAGTTTTTGCTAAGTCTCTGTAGCTGAAGCTCTAATCTAAATCCTGCTTCTCTTGTCTTTTGTTCCAGTGTATCACAAACTGGCACCGGTACAACAGTTTCTCCACCTCCCTGGAGCTCCCAGACAACACCCTGAACTTTGCAAAGAAGCACCCGCTGATGGATAAGGCCGTGCCTCCCCAGGGCAACCAGCCCTTGCTGGTGAAGAAGGATGCCAACTTCACCCAGCTAGTGGTGGAAAGAGTTCATGGGTTGGATGGCAAGCCATACGAAGTGCTGTACATCGGGACAGGTACGGGCTGAGGAAGGAGGTCAGAATTACAGCTGTGTCCTCGTAAAAATGTCTCGCTGCGTCAATCTAAGTTTCAGCAGTTACATTTTTTTGTTGGCTAATTTTTAATCTTAGTTATTTTATCGCGAGCCAGTTTGCCTAGTGCAGGGGTGGGCAACCTTGGCTCTTTGATGACTCGTGGACTTCAACTCCCAGAATTCCTGAGCCAGCATGAGGGAAACTTTGGCCCCTTCATGACTGGTGGACTTCAACTCCCAGAATTCCTGAGCCAGCCTGGCTCAGCTTGGAAACCTCTCCCTTTCCCCTCAGCGTGGCTGGCTCAGGAATTCTGGGAGTTGAAGTCCAGGAGTCATAAAAGAGCCAATATTGCCTACCCCTGGCCTAGTGGTTAAAGGCAACATCATAGAAACCAGAAGATCCGTGAGTTCCGATCCTGCGTTAGGCACAAAGCCAGTTAGGCACTACTGAACTGGGCCCTAAAAATACTGCCAAAAAGACTGAAGGGATGATAGATAGATAGATAGATAGATAGATAGATAGATAGATAGATAGATAGATAGATAGATAGATAGATAGATAGATAGATAGATAGATAGATAGACAGACAGATAGATAACCTTTAGTGTCATTTTTTTACCATGGGCACAACGGCACACATCAAAAATGAAATTTAATTGCCCGCTCTCAAAGTGAAACATTGATACATAAATAAAGAGCCGAGGTGGCGCAGCAGTTAGAGTGCAGTACTGCAGGCCACTTTAGCTGACTGTGTTCAGCAGGTCAGCGGTTCAAATCTCACCGGCTCAAGGTTGACTCAGCCTTCCATCCTTCCGAGGTAGGTAAAATGAGGACCCAGATTGTTGGGGGCAATGTAAATATATATATACATTGCTTACTGGTGTACACCGCTTAGAGAGTGCTTGCACTTAAAGCGGTATATAAGTCTCATAAATAAAATAAATAAACATATACATGACACACACCTAAACATGCTGTATACAACATGTGTATAGACCCACACCCCTGCAAAAGCAGATCACGTGACCCTGGGATGCGGCAACGGTCGTAAATGTGAACCAGTTGCCAAGCGTCTGAATTCGTATCACGTGACCCTGGGGATGCTGTAACGGTCATATGTGTGAAAGCTGGTCATAAGTCACTTTTGTCCGTGCCGTTGATAACTTCGAACGGTCACTGAATGAACTGCTATAAGTCAAGGACTAGCTGTAATCAGCAGGAGCCTTTTTACGTTAGCGTTTAAGTGATACTTTTTCTGGCCCTAAAACCCCTTCTGCTGACTCTCTCATAAAAGTCAATCAGAAAAAAAATTGTTTGCCTTCTCTTGCAAGGGTTCGGCAGACATTTCCCTTCAGTTCTGCTAGTTAAAAATTGATCAGAGACGGAAGACAAATTTTTAGGAGGGCTAAAAGAAGAAGCATTTCCTCCTGTTTGTCAACCAAGTGTGAAATGCCCCCTTGGAGACCGGAGCTTCTCATCTGCCCTTTTTATTATTAGCAATTTCAAAGTGAATAAATCACAGCTCTCTTCATCAAGGAGTATTTTTAAGCGGCGCAGCGATGTTTTTAATTGCTTCTTCTAACCACTTAGCTGATTTTTTTTTAATAAACAAATCCTTCTTTTGATGCGTTCAGCAGAAAGCGATTAAAGCCACCAAAAAAAAAAAAAGGAACAGCGAAGCAAGAAGTATAAATTGCAATAAACCAACAGCTCATTTGAAATGTGGCCTGCCGCATTTCGTCTAGCTGGACTGCAAAAGCGTCTCTTAAGAGAAGGCAATGTAGATCAGGTCTGGTGGGCAATGCAAATAATTATGACTGGTGTTCACATGCAGGGAGCTGAACTTGCCCACCTGTGGAGGGATGGGGGCACCCTAAGTGCCATTCATGAGGTTGATTTTGGGAATTGGATCCTTCTGGCAAGAGAAGGATGAAAAGAAGATGTCTGTGTACTTAAAAGCATTCAAACGGCCATCGAACTCTAAACAATGCAACTTTAAAAATTGTGTTTTTCCACCAAGCTATAAAGTCTCCTAATGAGGAAGGTTACAGTCACTGAATTGTCACCTGATCTGGGTTTTTTTTGTGCAGAGAACGGCTGGTTACACAAGGCGGTGGCCTTGCCTTCAGGTGTCCACCTCATAGAAGAACTGCAAGTTTTTGAGGAAGCCCAACCCATCAAGAGTCTGGTGTTGTCAGTACCAAAGGTAAGAAAGAGTCTTGGGCACAGTGTCTGGGAAGAATTGGACACTGAAGTCCTGGTGCCATTGTGGAAAAAAAAAAATAAGGATCTGTAGGTGGGAGACAGATTGGAACTTGGGTGCACAGGGATGTCATTGTGCATATGCCGTGAGTTTTGTTGCATCAGAAGTCAGGAAGTATTTGTATTTGCATTTGCATGATGATGTCTTCAGACACATCCTTCAGATGTTATTATGGTGTTTCTCTGCAGACTCACACCTGTGAAAAATTGCTACATAGAATAAAATCGAAATTTCAGGTAGCACTGATGCCTCCTCCCAGGGCTGTCCTCGCTGTACACACAACACAGCCTCACCAACCCAACCCAACCCAGAATAAAGCCATTAGCTTATATCTGATAATTGGTACGCAAAGGCGTCTGTCGTTGATAAGGATCTGGTGGAACAAAAGGCATCAAGTAAGAGGAGAAAATTAGGCATGGCATAGCAGAGTCCCTGGATTCACAGAATGCGCTAGGCCCGAGGCCAAGGTGGCTTAACGGAACGGCTGGGGTTCCTCTCACATGCTGCACCCAAGTGAATCAGCTGGTTTAAGGTGATGGTTTGGCTAAGGCAAAAGGACATGTCCTTTGCAAAGGACATTGAACCACATGTCAGCTTCGCCCTGATCCAGCATAAGATTGGACTTGGCCCGTGAGACGGAATTATGGAAGCCACCGACTCTTTCTGATGTCAAATGTTCCCTCAGAAGTTGCCTGCAAACCAAAGCCATCACGTTATTCATCAGGCCTAGAAGCTTCATTGAATGAACGAACAGCAATAGGATGCCACGTCTGGCAGAACACCTTTGTCTTAGTGTGTCTGGCACATAGGACCCCCACCCCACCCCCAATTCGGCTTTCAGAAAGTGGAGGGTGATTTTTTTTTCAGGCCTCCTAAGTGTTAGAATGGATCAAGATTGGAAGAGTCTTACTCTGCTACAGGGAGTCCTCAACTTACAGCTATAATGGAGCCCAGAATTATTATCACAAAATCATGCTGGTTGTTTAGCAGGTCATCCGTATGACTGGCCCAGTTTTAGGATATATATATATATATTTGTGACAGTTGCTAAGCAAATGCAATGGTTGTTAAGTGAGCCCATTGTCTGCAATGTCCATTTCCCCCCAGAAACCAGAAGTAAATGTCAGTTTCTGGGCAGGGGGGGAAAAACCGTCATAAATCACGGTACAGGATGCTACAAATGTAAGCCGGCTGCTGAGTGGCCAAACTGTGGTCATGTCATGGGTGCCATTCTGCTGAGCTATGCATTGCAAGCTGACATCAAGAATGGGAGGGAACAAAACCAAGCCTGATTGTCCCACGAGAAGCACTAGCTCTCAGGGTCACAAAAGAAGACAGGGACCATTTCCCAAATAATTTGTTAACTCCTAATTGGACATTGACAGACAACCAGGGTGTTTACCGGGAGCAAAGGAAAGTTAAGCGTATCTTTTTTGTGTGAAAATCTCAAATCCAGCTTTGCCTGTTCTGTAGGCACTTTGGGTTTAGTAAAATTTATTTTTGGCTTAAATATGGGTCAGGAGTCTTTCTTTCCTAACTGATGGATCACTGCGGTGGTGGGAGTGGCCTTCAGAACTTTGACTCCAGTCCCAAGTATCTTTTAAGGCAGTGGTTCTCAACCTGTGGGTCAGGACCCCATTTGGGATCAAACGACCATTTCACGGGGGTCGCCAAACCACGCTGTCCGCCATTTTTTTCTCTTTTCCCTAGCTGTCCTACTCCCTCTTATTGGTGGCCACACCCACTGGGGGTCACCAGAACATGGGGAACTGTATTATGGGGTCACGGCATTAGAAAGGTTGAGAACCACTGGGGTAGACTAAAAAGTCAGGCCCTCCTAACCATAACCAAGCACTCTGAATTTGTTGGTGATGCCCATTTTGCCCTCTGAGTTCATGGTGACCTAACCCTAACCCTAAGTGGAATTTTCCTCCAATGGGATTTTCCCATGTATTTTACCAGGAAACATAGATAGGGCAGGCTAGAAAAGTCAGTGCCCTCCTAACCATACCCAAGCACTCCGAATTTGTTGGTATGTCCATTTTGCTCTATGAGTTCATGGTGACCTAACCCTAACCCTAAGTGGAATTTTCCTCCAATGGGATTTTCCCATGTATTTTACCAGGAAACATAGATAGGGCAGGCTAGAAAGTCAGTGCCCTCCTAACCATACCCAAGCACTCCGAATTTGATGGTAATGTCCATTTTGCTCTATGAGTTCATGTGACCTAACCCTAACCCTAAGTGGAATTTTCCTCCAATGGGATTTTCCCATGTATTTTACCAGGAAACATAGATATGGCAGAAAAAAGTCAGTGCCCTCCTAACCATACCAAGCACTCCGAATTTGTTGGTGATGTCCATTTTGCTCTCCGAGTTCATGGTGACCTAACCCTAACCCTAAGTGGAATTTTCCTCCAATGGGATTTTCCATGTATTTTACCACGAAACATAGATAGTCCAGGCAAGAAAAGTCAGTGCCCTCCTAACCATATTCAAATACTCCGAATTTGATGGGAATGTCCATTTTGCTCTATGAGTTCGTGGTGACCTAACCCTAAGTGGAATTTTCCTCCAATGGGATTTTCCCATGTATTTTACCAGGAAATATAGATAGTCCAGGCAAGAAAAGTCAGTGCCCTCCTAACCATACTCAAGCACTCTGAATTTGTTGGCGATGTCCATTTTGCTCTATGAGTTCATGGTGACCTAACCCTAAGTTGAATTTTCCTCCAATGGGATTTTCCCATATATTTTTCCAGGAAACATAGATAGGGTAGACTAAAAAGTCAGGCCCTCCTAACCATAACCAAGAACTCCAAATTTGTTGATGATGTCCATTTTGCTCTCCGAGTTCATGGTGACCTAACCCTAACCCTAAGTGGAATTTTCCTCCAATGGGATTTTCCCATGTATTTTACCAGGAAACATAGATATGGCAGACTAAAAAGTCAGGCCCTCCTAACCATAACCAAGAACTCTGAATTTGTTGGTGATGTCCATTTTGCTCTCCGAGTTCATGGTGACCTAACCCTAACCGTAAGTGGAATTTTCCTCCAATGGGATTTTCCCATGTATTTTACCACGAAACATAGATAGTCCAGGCAAGAAAAGTCAGTGCCCTCCTAACCATATTCAAATACTCCGAATTTGATGGGAATGTCCATTTTGCTCTATGAGTTCATGGTGACCTAACCCTAACCCTAAGTGGAATTTTCCTCCAATGGGATTTTCCCATGTATTTTACCAGGAAACATAGTTAGTCCAGGCAAGAAAAGTCAGTGCCCTCCTAACCATATTCAAATACTCCGAATTTGATGGGAATGTCCATTTTGCTCTATGAGTTCATGGTGACCTAACCCTAACCCTAAGTGGAATTTTCCTCCAATGGGATTTTCCCATGTATTTTACCAGGAAACATAGATAGGGCAGGCTAGAAAAATCAGTGCCTTCCTAACCATACCCAAGCACTCTGAATTTGTTGGCAATGTCCATTTTGCTCTCTGAGTTCATGGTGACCTAACCCTAATCCTAAGTGGAATTTTCTTCCAATGGGATTTTCCCATGTATTTTACCAGGAAACATAGTTAGTCCAGGCAAGAAAGGTCAGTGCCCTCCTAACCATATTCAAATACTCCGAATTTGATGGGAATGTCCATTTTGCTCTATGAGTTCATGGTGACCTAACCCTAACCCTAAGTGGAATTTTCCTCCAATGGGATTTTCCCATGTATTTTACCAGGAAACATAGATAGGGCAGGCTAGAAAAATCAGTGCGTCCTAACCATATTCAAGTACTCCGAATTTGATGGTAATGTCCATTTTGCTCTATGAGTTCATAGTGATCAAACCCTAACCCTAAGTGGAATTTTCCTCCAATGGGATTTTCCCATGTATTTTACCAGGAAATATAGATAGTCCAGGCAAGAAAAGTCAGTGCCCTCCTAACCATACCCAAGCACTCTGAATTTGTTGGCGATGTCCATTTTGCTCTATGAGTTCATGGTGACCTAACCCTAAGTTGAATTTTCCTCCAATGGGATTTTCCCATATATTTTTCCAGGAAACATAGATAGGGTAGACTAAAAAGTCAGGCCCTCCTGACCATAACCAAGAACTCCAAATTTGTTGGTGATGTCCATTTTGCTCTCCGAGTTCATGGTGACCTAACCTTAACCCTAAGTGGAATTTTCCTCCAATGGGATTTTCCCATGTATTTTACCAGGAAACATAGACAGGGCAGGCTAGAAAAGTCAGTGCCCTCCTAACCATACCCAAGCACTCCGAATTTGATGGTAATGTCCATTTTGCTCTATGAGTTCATGGTGACCTAACCCTAACCCTAAGTGGAATTTTCCTGCAATGGGATTTTCCCATGTATTTTACCAGGAAACATAGATAGGGCAGGCTAGAAAAGTCAGTGCCCTCCTAACTATATTCAAGTGTTCCAAATTTGATGGTAATGTCCATTTTGCGCTCCGAGTTCATGGTGACCTAACCCTAACCTTAAGTGGAATTTTCCTCCAATGGGATTTTCCCATGTATTTTACCAGGAAACATAGATAGGGCAGGCCAGAAAAATCCGTGTACTCCTAACTATATTCAAGTACTCCGAATTTGATGGTCATGTCCATTTTGCTCTATGAGTTCATGGTGACCTAACCCTAACCCTAAGTGGAATTTTCCTGCAATGGGATTTTCCCATGTATTTTACCAGGAAACATAGATAGTCCAGGCAAGAAGAGTCAGTGCCCTCCTAACCATACCCAAGCACTCTGAATTTGTTGGCGGTGTCCATTTTGCTCTATGAGTTCATGGTGACCTAACCCTAAGTGGAATTTTCCTCCAATGGGATTTTCCCATGTATTTTACCAGGAAACATAGATAGGGTAGAACAGTGGTTCTCAACCTGTGGGTCGGGACCCCATTTGGGGTCAAATGACCATTTCACGGGGGTCGCCAAACCACGCTGTCCGCCATTTTTTTCCCTTTTCCCTAGCTTTCCTACTCCCTCTTATTGGTGGCCACACCCACTTGGGGGTCACGAGAACATGGGGAACTGTATTATGGGGTCAGGGCATTAGAAAGGTTGAGAACCACTGTTTTAAGGGGTCCGTCATAATTTTGAGCAGTCATTGAGTGATCAGTTGTTAAGTAAGGACTTACCTTAATTCTTCTTTCCCGTTCTCAGAGAGTCCTTTTTATTGGCTCCAACACACAAGTCATCCAGGTCCCCGTGGCCAACTGCAGCAAGTACCGGACATGCTCCGACTGTATTCTCGCCAAGGACCCTTACTGTGCTTGGATTTGGAATGGAAGTCGCTGTGTCCGGATTGATGCTTATGATGGGTAAGACGTGGAAGGGCAGTTGGGGCAGTTTACAGAGCCTTTTTCCTCCTGGAACCATAAGGTCTAGAAACCTGATCTTTCTAAATAAGGCTGTAGCCTTTGAATGCTAAAATGCTGCATTTGAACAGGGAACGTGTACATGTGTCAACTGCCATCTTATGCTTGCCTTTACTCAGCTACTATGGGGTGAGGAGAGGGGAATGAAGCGGGGGAATGCTTAGAGAAATGAAAGTAAGGGCTGTATCTTCTCGAGATGCTGTCTCAAGGTCACCCAGCTGGGAGAAGGAGGGGGGGGGCCACATACCAAACTACTCCTGGGACTGACCATTATAAAAACAGTAATTATTGCAGTAATGCAATGCACTTGATCTTCTCTAATAAACTATACCTTTCTCAGCAAATGGATCCAAGGGTCATTTTTATTCAGAGGCTTAAGTTGTGGCAGGTCCGACGGTGAGTCCGGTTGTGGTCCTGTTCTTTCTAATCCTTAGATCGGTGTTTCTCAATCTTGGCCACTTTAAGATGCATGGACTTCAACTCCCAGAATTCTCTAGTCAGCATTGCTGGCTGGAGAATTCTGGGAGTTGAAAGTCCACGCATCTTAAAAGCGGCCAAGGTTGAGAAACATTGCCTTTAAATTATTCCTCAGGGCCTAGCCTTGTTCTGTTTGTCCCCTGCCACAAATCATGTGATGGGATTTGTTTTCGGCTTTTACAGGACCTCAGTGTTGTTCCAAGATTTGGGGATGGAGCCCATGATGTGTAACCCCTTGCGTTCTTCCAGACCAGGTCAGTCATCCAAACAAATAACAACCCCTTGGGTGATTTTCACTGCTCTCCTATTATTGCTATTGACTAGATGTCCTTAAATATAATCCTGAAGCTCTTATCAACACAATGTTGTCTTTTAAAAAGCCATGACTGTGATGGAGATTGACTTTTGAGTTATTCCTTTAAAAAAAAAATAATTGGGAAACCCCCAGTATTTATACCTAGCTGTCTAGGACCGTCCGCACAAACGCAGGTGCTTTTGTTGTCTGAACTGTTCTGTGTGGTTGGTTAGGAAGAGGAAAGGAGAGGTTAGGCCTCTCAGCTGCCTGGCTGAGTGAGTCAGAATGAACTCTTGGCAGGATCAAAAGTGTTGCCTCTTGTGCACGAAGCCCTGTGATTGCAACCATTTTCTCACACTGGGTGCTTGTGGCAGACAATACCGCATCGTATTACCTGCGCATCAAACGCAAGCTGCAGGCACATACCTCATAAACTACAGAACAGGAACGTGCTCCACATTCTTAGCAACTGTAACCCTGCAGCGCAAGCTTCAGTGGCTGCTGTGAGTTTTGATCTCTCTTCTCTCTTTTTTTTTTCTCTTTCTCTCTTTCTTTCTCTCAATCTCTTTCTTGCTTTCAATCTCTCTCTCAATCTTTCTTTCTCTCTTTCACAATCTCTTTCTCTCAGTCTCTCTCCTGCTCTCTTTCAATCTCTTCTCTTGCAATCTTTCTCAATCTCTCTTGCTCTCTCAAGCTTTCTCTCTCTTTCTCTTGCTCTTGCTCTTGCTCTCAATCTCTCTCTTTCTCTCAATCTTTCTCTTTTCCTCAATCTCAATCTCTCTTGCTCTCCTCAGTCTCTCTCTCTTTTTCTGTCTCTTTTTTTCTCTCTCTCCCTCCATCTCTCTCTTTGAATTTCAGTTTTCCATTTCCAGATGTGCTTTAAATCTTTATCCTTGCTCATTTGAAGTAGTTTTTTTTTTTTTTTTTAAAGAAGGCAGCTGTTTTGTCTACCAGCTCCTTGGGGAAAGAAGGATCCCTCCTATCATCCCGCATTCTATTTGTCTGCTTGTCTTCCTCTTAAATGCATTTTTAAAAATTTATTGCAAGTGGTTTTAGGACCCTTCAATCACCTGACTCTAAATGGATGCTGATAAAACAGACATTCTATAACAATATAGTAAATCAAAGTTACTAAACTCCAAATATGAAATAATAATAGGACTCGGTAGGTGGATAAAAATGCCAAATCCAGTTTGAACAACTGGCTAAGTGTGCAAATAACAACAACAATAGTGTGGCAAAAGAAAACCAAGATAACACCAATAACAGGCGCCTTGGAAACCATCCCAAAACAACTGGAGCACCACTTGAACACCATCAGCATTGACAAAATCACCATCAGTCAATTGCAAAAGGCAGCTTTGTTCGTAACAGCTTACATCCTGCGACAATACCTTTAACACCATCACACTTCCATATCAGCCTATCCCCGGTCCTTGGGAAAGGACTTGTGTTGATAGCTGAATAAAAATACCAAATCCAGTTTAAACATCTGTGTGACTGTGCAGGGAACCATAATAATAAATCCAACATAATTTATAATGTTATCATAGAAACCATAACAACACAAAATCAGAGCAGCCAGATTCATCCTCAGCACAGGGACACATATCCCGTTACTAGCGTTAGTCCCTAAATGCACGTTTCAAATGCCTTGTTTTAAAAAGCTCCCTGAATTTTAGAAACGGTTCCTATGTTTGGTGGGAAGACTGTGGATCAGACTTTCTCAACCTGCAATTTGTAAGATGTGTGGACTTCAGCTCCCAGAATTCTCCAGTTAGCACAAAAGCCAAGTTGAAATCCACACATTTTAAAGTTGCCAAGATGGACAAATACTGTTCTGGATGGCTTGTCAATTTCAAAATAAGACAGTTTCCGGAGGAACCAATCTAATCAATTTCAGAATCCCTTCAGTACAGGAAGTCCTCCACTTGCAATTCCCAACCGAGCCCCAAATTTATGTTGTTAAGTGAGTTTTGCCCCATTTTACGACCTCTCTTGCCACGATTGTTAAGCAAATCAAAGCAGTTGTTAAGTTAGTGACTTGTTAAGTGAACCTGGCTTCCCCCGTTGACTTTGCTTGTGAGGAGGTCGCAAAAGGGGATGCGACCGTCATAAATATGAGGCATCTGGATTTTGATCACCTGATCATGAGGATGCTGCAAAGGTGGTCTCTCTAAAAAATAGTCTTAAGTCCCATTGCTGTTGTAACTTCGAAATGTGACTAAACGAACTGGTTTCACAGCGCATGGAAGGCTCCCATCAGTGAACCTGATAATGCCAGGAAAATGCACGTTCTATTCAACAGTGCATGGAAATTGTAATTGCTCTGAAGCGCTATCAGTCAGAGAAATGAACAGATGCTGGAGGGAAGCAAGCATCCCAAGGACTGGTGGGAACAATTGTTGTGTGTTCCCTGAGTGCAGCAGTTGTTGCATTGTCAGTGCAGATGTGGTCCAGCCTTCTCCCTTTAGCTTGCTTTCATCCTCCGTGGAAGCCGTGTGGGAAGTGCGCTGGAGGTTATTGTTGCTGGCCGCGGTGGGATTGAAGACCTTGTCTGAATGGAGCCCTGGTGCTTATGGGAACAGACAGCAGCTGTTGCTTTTCTTCCTGTTCTTGGGACAGGAGGGTTATTGCCTTTTGCTCTCAGATTGCAAAGACCCAAGTGTTAAATCCTTGTAGACAGAAACAGTGGAAAGCTGCTGATACGTATTTTGAATTGTTCCCAGAGAGGAAGCCATGTTAGCTTGTGGTGGGGAAGAACAACAGAACAATAAAAATAATTAAAACTGACAGGGAAGCGCAGAGCAAATGGGGATCATTCTCAGATGCTTGAACAGGAGATCTAACTCATCTGTATTCTCTCTGGCTGGGCTAAGAACATCCTAAAGGACATCAGAGTTGGGTTGATACAACATGCTCGCAAACAGAAAGATATAGTCTGATTCTCACAACATACTAAAAAAAGGGGGGCTGCATTCTGCAGCTACCAAGGATCATAGAGACAGAGAGAGATTTTAACTGATCCTAGCTTGATGCCAGCCTAGACTATAAGAATATCCCCTTCTTATTGTCACAACAACCCATTAAAGTGATGTAATGGGATCAGACATGGAAGAATAATTGATTATGGTTGGGCAATGTAATTGTGCAAGTTTCCGGAGCTTAAAAGGCATTTAAGTGTAGAATGTTCCAGTGGTACAAATCAAATCATTCTCCATAACAACAAATATCCCTGCTGATTTAAACCTAGACTACACTGACATCATAATTCACAGGGAAAGTATTTTCATGTTTATGGCTCTACACAGCAGAATTGCACCCACTCAAGGAAGCCATAGGAGACAAAAAATTGTCACTAAGGTCAAACTCAGTTGCCACCTTCCCTGGCAGATCAAAGCACACATTTGTGACCTCACAATGCCACATAACTCAGTGGCATCTCCCGCAGCCTCTTTTGAGAACTGAGGCGAATCTGTAATTTTAACATGACCTAAAAGGAGACACTTTTAAATTATAGAGATAATCATAAATAACCATCTGGAGATGAGATGGTCAGAAGGAATAACTTGGAGGAACAGGAAAGAAGAGTTGTAACCAAGAGAACAATCAGATAAAAGAAATCTGAGGCTAGGGCAGAAATGTAATTTGCAAAATGTAATCTCAGACGGGACCTTCCCTAATTATCACAAAGATAAGGGTGTGTGTGTGTGTGTGTGTGTGTGTGTGTGTGTGTAGCACATTGAGACTTGCAAGATTGAGTTACTGTAATTTTATAAGAATAGAATAGAATAGAATAGAATAGAATAGAAAGGGACCCTATAGGTCATCTATAGCAGGAGACCCCACACCATTTCTGACAGATGGCAGTCCAGTCTCTTCTTGAAAGCTCTTCCAGTGATGAAGCTCCCAAACTTCTGAAGGCAATCTGTTCCGTTGGTTGATTGTTCTCACTGTCAGAAAATTTCTCAATCAGTTTCCACCCGTTCTTCCTTATCTGGCCTTCTGGTGCTTTGGAAAATAGGTTGATCCCCTCCTCTCTGTGAGGCCCCCTCAAATCGTGGAACATTGTTATCATGTCTCCTCTGGTCCTTCTCTTCACTATGCTTGCCATGCCCAGTTCCTGTAATGGTTCTTGATATGTTTTAGCCTCCAGTTCCCTAATCGTCTTGGTTGCTCCTCTCTGCACTCTTTCTAGAGTCTCAACATCTTTTTTTTTATAGTGTGGTGACCAAAACCGCTTGTAGTATTCTAGGTGTGGTAGTAGTATAGGCCAGCATGACTTTGACTTCCTAGTCTGGTCTATCTTGAAGGGCTGATATGAATCAACATGACATTCCATTAATGGTCTAAATTTAAGTGATAATAATAATATGTCACAGCCAACGTTTGTAGTCCATGAACAATTCCTTTCAAGGACCAAGCTCTGGGACCCTCAAACATCTTCATCCTTTCAAAGAGTTTCTTAAGCCAAACCTGGTATTCTCAGTAAAAGAAGGTTTACTGCAGTGGTGGCGAACCTATGGCACGGGTGCCAGAGGCGGCACTCAGAGCCCTCTCTGTGGGCACGTGCACCGTCGCCCCAGTCCTCGGCCTTCAGCTGGGTTTTATAAAACCTTTTCGCTTTAGGCCTCTGCCGCCATGTGCAAAAAAAAAGGTTCAATCAATCAGTCAATTTCAACTTTTCGCGGAAAAAAAAAGAACTTGCAAAGTTGGAATTGATTGATTGAACTTTTTAGTCCCACCCAGTCTGCCCTTACCACCACAGCCATGCCCACCCAGTGGGCCACACCTACCCAATGGGCCACACCCACCCAGCACCCGACGATGCATAAGTGGGTTTTGGGTTGCAGTTTGGGCACTCGGTCTCTAAAAGATTTGCCATCACTGGTTTACTGCTATCTACCCTATTCGGCCCTTTCTCCAGATTAGATTCACTTGATTTTTTTAAAAAAATAGTCTTTTACACGAATGTATAAAGTACAGACCTTCTTAAGGTCTATTGATCTTGCATTGAACTCTGTTCTGAGCATCATTCATTTTATGAAACAATTCCTAAACCTTAAAGCAGGGATCCCCAACCCCCAGGACGTGGTCCATTTGGAACCGAGCCACATGAGTGGTGGGTGCCCACTGTTTGTGCAAATGGAGCTGCGCATGCTCACATGCGTGCCCGTCACTCACACAGAACCATCCCCTCTTCCCCCACTCCCCACTGGGCTGTCAAGCTGGAAAGTTTGGGGACCACTGCCTTAATAAAGGCATACAGCAGTTTTTTTTCAAGCTACGATCTTCCAGATGATTTGGACTTCAGTTTTCATAATCCTTAGCTGGTACCACCCAAAGGAACGCCGATGTTTGGCTTTAAAGGGCCATAAAATACTTTGGAGTCCATCAGGCTGAAAAACACAACATTGGTGCTTTTAAATAACTAACATCCGTTTCTATAAGCTATTTGCAAAGTTTAGAATCTTGGGTACAGTGAAGCCTGTAGAGATCAAGAAGCGGTTTCATTCCAGCTCAGAGGATTAAAAAAAGAAGGGAAGTCTGAATGCGTATGTCTGCTGTCGCATGTCCACCATGAGCAGAACTGGGTACCTGTGTAGGTTGAGCTAAAGAGTTCCTTTGCTTTCTTTCAGTTTTTAAATCTTATTTTCAGGAGGCATGTTGAAGTTGGAAACTTTTCAATAAAAACAGAATTAACCCCAGTCCGTTCTTCTGTCTTTTACTTGACTTCTCCACAGGGACCAAGATCGTTTCCAAGAACATCACCGCGATGGTTGGAATGGACCTGGTGCTACCTTGCCAGCTCACCTCCAACCTTGCTAAGGCCTTTTGGACCTTCAATGGGCAGGATCTGGCAGAAGACCAAGCTTCAGTTGTCTACGATGCTCATCTTCAGGCACTGATTGTCTTGGACATCAGCTTGAAGGGTTCTGGGTTGTACAAGTGCATCCAGGTAGAGGAGATGAATGAACTAATGACGGAGAGTTACCAGGTCACTGTGTTGGCTGACCCAGCCATGTCACTGGAAACCCGGGCTCCCTTAGACAACTTGGGCCTGGTCTGGGTGGTGGTGATTGCTCTGTCAGCTGTCTGTTTGGTTCTCCTCCTCGTGGTCTTTTCTCTGAGGCGCAGGCTGAAAGAAGAACGCGAGAAAGGCTCCAAGGCCATTGAGAGCACCCTTGTCTACCCCATTGAGCTGCCCAAAGAGCCCAAGAGCCCCACTTTTATTCCCAGCACCACCTCAGACTCTGATGAGAAGCTCTGGGACCCCGCCAGCTACTACTACTCAGACGGTTCCCTCAAGATCGTCCCGGGTCACGCCGTGTGCCAGAATGGGGGCACCACTCCCTCGCCCACCACAAATGGCATTCCTGGCCAACCCCTGCAGTCTCCGCACCTCCACTCGCCCAACCGCATCAATCTGGGCAACATCCGCGGCTCGTCTTCCAACGGCTACATCCGCCTTAATTTGGGCACCGAGGAGCGGCCGGACTACAGTGACTTGGCCGAGGAGCTGCGTCGGAAGTTGAAGCAGAGGCAAGCTCTGCCCGACTCGAATCCCGAGGAATCTTCGGTATGAGCTGCCCCGCAGACTTTGTCTGACCAATTACTCAACTACCTCATGTCCTAGGCCAGGGTGCTGGCCCGCAGCCAAAATGACTCTTTCTTTTTAAGACAAGACTCTGGACACTTTTGTAACAGGCTTCCTCACATCCCCGATTTTGATACACTGCCAAGAAGACCCCCTTTCCTCACAGCTCCTGCCTTGTTCTCCGCTGTGCTTCCTTGGGGACCATTCTGGGACTTTGTGAGTGGTGGTCTTCGTCCCTTCATCTTGGATGTTGAGTCTGAGCCTCTAGAGACTTGCCCTTCGGCAGGGAGACCCTGCGCCGAGCCCATTGGCCTGTTTCAGCTCCAAAAGCCGTGCGGAGGCGGTGTTGAAATGGTTGTGTGAAAAGCAAGCTGGAGCATCATTCCCACGTCATGGTTGCTATTGGCTTCCTCGCCATTGTTGCCATGTTTCTTTCTTCTCTCCTGGCTTGCCTGCAAGAGTTGGACTCTGCAGTAGCGATTTCCCCCAGAAGGTTAGGGACCAGGAGGATGGCAAATCAACCCCTACCCCAAAGGAAGGGCCACTTTGGGGAGAAGGGGACCTCGGAAAGACAGGCATCCTAAGGGGCAAGGTGCGCATTGGGAAACTCGACCAAAGAGGGGCTGGGGAATGCTTTTAACCATAGCTTGGCCTCCTTCCTTATGGCCACATTTAGAAGTGTGTAAAAGAGACACACTCGACCCACCCGAAAGTTTGTTTTTTCCAACAGTAGGCGGGACACCTTTGGGGGATGAGGAAGACTTGGTCCTGATGTCCTTCTGGGTGAGCTGCATGTCACTAGAATAGGGGGGAAAAACTTTCCAATCAATTGTTCAGGGGTTTTTAAAGAGCGCCAGGCCAGGGTTCAGGTGTCTGTTTTTCCCCTCCCTTAAACTCTCCTTGCATCTTCACCAAAACAAAAGGCATCCCGATGTTTGATCCCATCCATTTTGGGAGCCTCTTAGGACCACATGCAGAGGAAGGGGCTGGCTGGGGTAATTCCGAGAGAGTGGAGGAAGGCAAGAGTTGGGGGTCCGTCCCAAATGGCGCACTCTCTGCTAATGCCTTGCATGTTCCCTTGGCAGGAGGGTGGTGCAGCTAGGAGAATCAACACCCTGTCACTCCATTGGGCTATTTCACATCCTCTGCCCTGCCTCCTTCGTAGTGTCCCAGGCCCCCTTCCTGAGGGATACATGCGATGTCAGGAAGTTTTGTGTGTTTGCACGCTCATGCCCGTGAGCATGATGGTCTTCTGCGGGCGGATTAAGGGAAACAAGTGCCATCACATTGCTTCATCCCACAGATTACATTCTCAGCATCCTTCAGTGTCATAACACATGTGACATTTGATTCCTACCAGTCAATCTTGTGCGTGTGTTTGTGTTTGTGTGGGAGAGAGAGAGAGAGAAGGGCTTTGTCTGCCCCAGCTGCTTCACTGGGTCAAGCGAAAACTTTTGCAGATGCAGACACCCAGCTTGTGAATTGGTTGGTGGCAACCTTGGTTCATTTTAGGGTGAATGTGCAAGCCCAACCCCCCCCAAAATTTGGTAAATTTAGGGTTCACTGTACGGGGCGAATCCAGAAGGTGATTGAAATCGGCCGCGATTGTATTCAAACGTATTGTGTGAATACAATCGGAGATTGTCAGAGAGCGAGAAAGAGAATGGCCCTTTTGAAAGAAACGAACAGAACCGGATTCTTCTGCCCTCCATTTTCCGTAGGGAGCATGCAATTACCTACGTTCATTTCAACCCCTGCGTTGAAATTGTCTGCGTGATCACCCCCTTTCGTATCCCGCATGCGTTTCATTCCATTATCACTAGATGTTTGTTGTCCTTCTACCTGGACCTCTTCCTTCATGAAAACACTACTATGTACATAAGGAACACACACCCTTGTTTTCCCAGCTGAGTTGTCCTGCCCTCAGCTGTAATTTATTTGTTATTAAAATGTATTTATTTGACGGAAATGTACAAATATTTTTATACTAATAATAAAATGACAAAAGAAGAAAGGGTGGGAAAAAAACAGGCTCGGTGTGCTGTGTTTGTTCCTAGTTGGTTGACCTCCCTCCAACACTGGTAATTTATTCTGCTTCGGGGGCTACCTATGTTCTACAGCTCCACCAGTGGCTGAATTGGACCGGAAGGAGTCAAGTCAAAAGAGAGTTAACGGAGAGGAGGGACTCCTACCAAGAGTCTATGGCAGGGGTCTTCAAACCTGGCCCTTTTATGACTTGTGGACTTCAATTCCCAGAATTCCTCAGCCAGGCAGGAATTCTGGGAGTTGAAGTCCACAAGTCATAAAAGGGCCAAGTTTGAAGACCCCTGGTCTATGGAGATTCTCAGCCATCCAGGTCATCCAGGCGAAAAAGGAAGACCAAGAGGATATCGGATTATTCCGGAGAGGGATTTCATGTTAAAAGTGCAGAGGGCAAAATCATTGGAACAGTAAGAGAAAGAAAAGCAAAGATATATTGGGATAAGATTGCAAACAAATGAACAAACCAATGAGTTGCTTTCAAGTGTCCTTTCTGAAATTCCCACCCCCTCCCATGGATAAATTCTGCTTCCACCAAGTTTTCCCTCCCAAGATGAAAGTGGTTACATAGAAGATATTTTTTTTTCTTCTTTTCTGGCCCTTCCAATCAAAAAAACAAGGCTGATTTCAGGGCTGGAGGCTAAAACTTAACTAAGAACGGTTGCGGGAACTGGGTAAGTTTAGTTGAATAAAAAGTAGGACTAAGGGTGCCGATAGCAGTGTTCCAATACTTGAGGGGCTGCCACAAAGAAGATGGATCAACCTATTCTCCAAAGCACCTGAAGGCAAGGCAAGAAGCAATAGATGGAAACTAACTGAGGAGAGAAGCAACCTAGAACTAAGGCGAAATTTCCTGACAAAACAATTAACCAGGGGAACGGCTTGCCTTCAGAATCTGCTTCATCACTGGAGGAAAAAGAGATTGAACAGCCATTTGTCTGAAATGGTATACAGGGCTCTCTCCTGCTTGAGTAAGGGGTTGGACTAGAAGATCTCCAAGGTCCCTTCCAACTCTATTATTCTCTATGTTCTAATTCTGAAGAGCTTTATTAGCATGTTAACATTCTTGGGGCCTGCTTTCCACTGATCAGGGGTGAGCAGCATTGTTGCTTCAGCCTCTTTATTTCTTCCCATATCGCTTGTGAGCTCATGGAAACTCCGCCGCAGGCCTATAAAAGGACATTTCTGTCTTCCCAGCACTCCGAAGGAGGAACAGCTCCCAGCTCTTCTCTTGAAACCAGCTATGGGGTGGGGAGGAGGGGAAGCAGAAATCCTTTTTAAGAGCAGCTGGTAGATTAATCGGCTGTGCTTTCTCTTCTTGTCATGGGTTCCCTTTCCTGCTGATTTATACCTGCACGCATATTAAGAACAAATGCAGTGGAAGGTTTAAGGAAACAGGTTTTTCCCCCCTAGCCTTTCTCTTTTCTTATTTGTAACTTTCAGCCCCCCAAAAATCCATAGGATTGATGATTCAGCCCCACCTGAGCTGTAGCAAGACAATGAAATGTATTGCAGGGATCCTAGTGCAGGGGTCCTCAACCTTGGCAACTTTAAGACTTGTGGACTTCAACTCCTGCACCGTGTGGCTAGTGGCCTATTCATGCATGCGCAAACAGGCCATGCAAACTGTCCGGGCTAGCAGCACATGCGCAAACAGGCTGCGGACACCCACCCCATGCTAGCATTCCCGTTCACGCCTGCGTGCATGCACAAATGGTCGCAGGCACTAGCACGGGTGGGGGGAAATCCGCATCCCTGCGTTTATGCACCAACCAGCCGTTTCTGCGGCCCACTGGCCAAGATCCCACGGCCCGGTCCCGAGCCACAGACCATAGGTTGGGGACCCCTGGACTATAAGACCTCCAAGGTCCCTTCTGTCACTGTTATTCTTCTACATTCTGTTTTATTCTGTTAATCTATCATTATTCTGTTATTTCATTATTCTGTTAATGGCCAATTTGTCTGAGTGCCGGGCTTTTAGGAATTCTCCGGCGTGTTTTAGATTTCGCTTGGATTACCTTATTTTTTTTTCCACCCAGGTCTTTCCAGATGTGTTAGCTTAATATTCCCATGATTCTCATCCTGCACACCTCTGTTGACTGGAGATGATGGAAGCTGAGGATCTGAGGCTTCTAGAATATTACCGGAATCAACATTTAGGGCCATCAGCAGTATTATTGTGATTTGGTGAGAGGAACACATCTTTTAAGATAGGTTTTGGGTTGCTTGAGATAGATTATCTCCAGACATATCTACTTCAAAGGTCCTAGGAGAAAATCGATTTGACCCTTCTTGATTAGGAGGTGTTGGATACTTTCCACCGGGAGGTCTCTAGTGATGACAAGCGAAAGATAAGAGTCACGCTTTGACTTTAATAGATTTTCTGTGGTAAAATGGGAAAGGCAACAGAAGAGAATATCAACTTTAGAAGGAATAGTAAGTAACATGGATGCTTGGAAAGTGGAAAATCCTACCACCCAGTTACATACGTACATACATACGTACATACATACATATAATAATAAGGAGGCCCATCACATGTTGACAGGGGAGAAAACAGGCTCAAAAAGTCAATGCAAACCTAGGCTGTATTAACAGAGGGATAGTATTAAGATCGAATGAAGTATTAGTGCCGCTTTACAATGTCCTGGTAACACCACACTTGGAATATTGCGTCCAGTTTTGGTCACCACAATATAAAAAAAGATGTTGAGACTCTAGGAAGAGAGCAGAGAAGAGCAACAAAGATGATTAGAGGATGGAAGCCTATGAAGAACAGTTGCAGGAATTGAGTATGTCTAGTTTAACGAAGAGAAGGACGAGGGGGAACATGATGGCAGCCTTCCATTATCTCAGGGGCTGCCACAAAGAAGAGGGAATCAAGCTATTTTCCAAAGCGCCTGAAGGCAGGACAAAAAGCAATGGATGAAAACTAATCAAGGAGAGATCCAACCTAGAAAAAGGAGAAATTTCCTGACTGTGAGAACAACTTATCTTCAGAAGTTGTGGGTGCTTCATCACTGGAGGCTTTTTAAGAGGCAGTTGAAGAGCCATTTGCTTGAGCAGGGGGTTGGACCAGAAGAAAGACCTCCAAGGTCCCTTCCAATCTTGGGCCAGGAGCCCCTTTGTGTAAAAAAAACAACAGCCAGACCCAAGATGTAACCTGATGCTTGGAATTGAGGAAATCTCTGTCCTGTAAGCAGACGTAGCTTGCCTGTTTTCCCACCACAGCAGCTTCACCCCAGTCTTGGGAAGAGCGTGATTTGGCCAGGCTCCAGGCACTTAATCCAACGGAGGCAGGATGGGTGAAATTGCAAAACGGGGAGAGAGGGGCGGGAGGAGCCGTTCCTGGCCCGGAGGCCAGCGTGGATGATCTGGTTCCCAGAAGGCTGTGGTTACAGGAAACTGACGGGGGGATGTGTGCGTGCAAGACTAGGCTGTGGGACCTAAGACGTCCCCGCTTATCAGTTTCACACATGGGCCTTTGAATTTTGCAGCTGTAGCCAGCTGGTCTCTTTGGCAGTAAGCTGGATGCAAGTCAGCTTCAGTGCCCACCCAGGACTGGAGTGAGGAGTGGGGGGTGGGCAGACGGGGGTATTTGTACTCCACTTCCTTCTTGGCAATAGACTGCTATAGGCTAAATCCAGGCTAGGCTAAACCAGGATTGCTTTCATTTCACATTCCACATTCCACGTTTTATATTATTTATATCCCAACTCACCATCTCCTGGTGACTGGCCCAAAGTCCCCAGGCCAGTTTTCATGCCTAAGGCAGAACCAGAATTTGCAGTCTCCCAGTTTCTAGCCTGGTGTCTTAACCATTAGACCAGCGGTCCCCAATCTTTCTGGATCTGTGGACCAGTGGTGGTGGCGGGGAGGAGAGGGGAGTGTTTTGTGCATGTGTGTGTCGCTTGCACAAATGCAGCTTCGCTTGCATGGTCCGGTACTGGGCCACTCACCTGGGGTTGGGGACCCCCCACCATGGATTGCCAGAAGAAGCAATCAATCTGAGGCCAAATAAAGGCTGATTGCTCCTCAGAGACATGATTAGCAAACTGGATCTAACATACTTGGCCCTGTGAGATGAGTGGATGAGGAATGACGGAAGAAAATTGATTGCACTTGGCGAGGAGAAGCAGGAGTGCGGGAAGACAACACCTACCGTGTAGACGAGAAGCTGAGAGATTATGGAAAAGTCCTTGGAAGAGCTACAAGCTATTAAAGTCAGGCCAGAAGGATGAGCATGTCTCATTTTTATATTTTATAGAAATAGCTCCATGCAGGCCTAGGAATTGAAGATAACTCGATGGTACCTATATGCCACCCTGAGAGATGGCTCCTTTATGGAATTTGGCTCAACCAAGTCAACTAGCAATGGAGGTAATAGTAATAAATGGTTTCTCCCCAAGGCAGAAGAACATTTTGTTAATCCTTTCCAGCTTCCCAGGTTCAGGAGAGATTATTTTAAAGGGTTGGAACAGAACTGGAAGGGATTACAATTCAGGGGCACCCACTTCCACAGAGGCCTGAAGTGTTATTCTTAGCTGCAAGTGCACATTTACACCAGCAAGGGTTGCGAGTGAACGCAGCAAGGTTAGAGAGGGACGAAATACGGGAAGTGCACAAGCTGACAGTGCAATTAGAGCTTGCATGCATAATGAATGAAGCACAGTGACCCTTCACAACAGCGGATGATGGATGGTAACGTAGCCAAGTCAGTGATGTTGAGTTCATTAACCTAAGTAATGGCACGGGCGCCCTTGTCTTTGTGCATGCGCTCCGGCTCTAATTGAATCGTCTCAGCCACAGCTTTCTCCCCCTGATCATGCTTGGTCACCCACCCACCCTCCACATCTCAAGATATTTGAAACCAATAGAAGATAGTCCTCAGAGCAAGTGGACCCTGGGTGAGTGCAGAAAAGCCAGGGTGTAAGCCATTTTTCCAGAGGGAGGGAGGGAAGGAAGGAAGGAAGGAAAGAAAGAAAAGG